GTCAGGCTTTTATGCTCATATGAAAGCAACAGGCATTTGTTAAAAATATATATTGGTGAAGGTGATTACAATTATTTAATACCAAAGAGACACAGAGACCAAAGAGACACAGTTATTCTGGAAGAAAATATGAGAAAGAATATATATTTCCAGAGGAAAAGACAATCATAAGGATATCTAGTGTAGTTGTAAGGGTACACTAGATAGCTTTGTGATGTTGCATGAAGCAAAACATTACAGACTGAAACTGCTACCTGGTTATCTTTCAGAACCCCCTTAGATTTATGCACATCAAAAAGTCTGTCCTTCCTGTGCATTTCCTTTCAAATGGAAACATTTAAATCACAGTGGGGCTTTTTGAAAACTAGTTCAAAAGAATAAGACATCAAATGTTTTATTCCTAAAATGGCTGCAGAGATAAGATCCTATTCCTGCTTATCATGGTTGCCCTGCACATCCAAATGTTAAATTTGTGTTTGTACTATTGAACATGGCATGTAATCCATGGAACAAAGAGTTTACTTCCTATAAGCAACATTAGTGCAGGTAGCAGAAAAATCTGACCAAGAATCAGAAAAAATTACTGCTTACCAAATCAAGAGAAATGTCTCTAAGGTTTGTGCACTAGTTCTCCAAATATGTTTAAATGTGTTATGGGAAGAAAAACTCCCACTTCAAAGACTATAAGAAAGATAAGATATACAAAAGGTGATAGAAAAATTGTGAAGTTTGTTGAATAGCTAGAGCTGAGGGTGGATGTGAATGATGAAAAGCAAATCAAACCAGTGGAACTGAGTCATTAAATTAAGATATGATAAAGTTAGAAGCAGTCAAAACAGCAGAAGCAAATTGCTGGTGGGACCCAAAATTAACCAGTTCAAAAGCTACAAATGTTCACACCAAAACTATAAAACTTGTTCCTTAGGATATTTTGAGAAGCTACACCTCAATGTCACACAATTTTTGGAAGTGAAGAGAGGGATTGACCATGTATTGGTCAGTGACGTGCAGTGAGGGTTACCGTTGGTGAGGCAAGAGTGCAGCAGCGGCGAGAAGCAACGTCCCCGCCGCTGTGTCTGACAGGCAT